TCTGGAATGCTTTAAAAGCAGTCTTAAGAGGGAAGTTTATAGATCTAAGTGCCTACATTTAGAAATCAGAAAGAGTGGCTGGAGAGATAGCTCTGTGGTTACAAGCACAGGCTGTTCTTAAAGATGACCCAGGTTCAAATCCCAGCACCCACATGGCAGCTAACAACTTTCTGTAACTCCAGTTCCAGGGGATCTGACAGCCTCTTCTGTTCTCCGCAGGAACTGCACGACATGGGTGCACTTACCTATACATGCAGGCAATACACGCATATACATAAAAATAAAATATTTTTTAAATTTATTTTTATTTTATGTGTATGAGTGTTTTATTACTTGCATGTGTGTAAGTGCACTATATGCATGCAATGCCCACAGAGGTCAGAAGAGGATCCTCTGGAACTGGAGTTATGGACTGTTGTTAGCTGCTCTGTGGGTGCTGGGAACCGAATCCGGGTCCAATGCAAGAGCAGCCAATGCTCTTAACCACTGAGCCATCTCTCCAGCCCATAGTCAACATCTTGAAGTCAAGATTATAGTGTAACATTACAGCTGACCTCATCACCGAATAATCCCAGATCACACTACTATGCAGCTATCTAAATGGTGCTTTGATTTATATCTAGAACTCTAATCAATGTCCCCTAAAGTCACAATAACAGCAAAGAACATCTTTAGAGGAAGGTGTGTTCAACCTAAATTTCACGTGGAACATCATGGCATAGATAAGGTACTGTGAAAGCACCTCACTCCTTCACAAACGCTCAAACCTGAATCTGATGATTTATAAAAGCTTAAATCCTTGGTGGAAATCTTTCATCCTGCATCCCAATCCTACTAAAATTTAATATTCCAATTTTATGTGCTGTATTTTACAACACAAAACTTCTACTAGTCAAAACTGTTCCACTCCATGTCCCTTAAGTTGTTCTGACTCTCCTCAGGAATCCACGTACTCTGAAGAAACAGGGCAGTGCTAAGGCATCATCGAAAAGCACCACAAACAATAGTCTTTGCTAGGCATTGTCTGAACTTGCCCAAATAAATTGTCAACAGAACAAAGCTTCTTAATATCAAGAATAAGAACAGAGGTTGGAGAGACGGCTCAGTAGTTAAGAGCTCTTGCACAGGGTTCAATTCCGCAGCATCCACATGATGGCTAACAACTGTCGTAACTCCAGTTTCAGGGGATCCAATGCCCACTTCTGACCTCTGCACAACACGGATGCACTTACATACATGCGGGCAATACACTCATACACATAAAATAAAAATAAATAAAATAGTTTTTAAAAAAAGGAATAACATGTCAGGTGTGGTGGCACACACCTTTGATCCCAGTACTTGGGAGGCAGGGGCAGGTGGATCTCTGTGAGTTCAAGGTCAGTCTGGTCTATACATTGAGTTCCAGGCCAGCTGAGGCTACAGGGAGACCCTGTCTCAAAAAGACAAAAAAAAAAAAAAAAAAAAAAAAAAAAAAAAAGAAGAACTACAGCTACCGTGTGAAGGAGCCCTCTACAGCATACTCTGATTTCACTTTATCTCAACAATGATTAGGGAGGTAGGCTACATAATTCCCTTTTCACAGAAAGAGGGAGCCAAAAATGAAAAGTGTGGGTTAACTGACTACGGTGCCTGTACTCTTACTTTCAAAGCTAAAATACTTTGTGGATTTACAAGTGTGTGATCATGAGGAAAAATTTGTTTCCTTACTCTAGTCACACACAGGAAGAAAACTGGGCAGAAACAAGAGATGACTTTCAGGAAGATATCCAAATAAGCTGAATCACACACAGCAGGGATTAGCACATTTCTTCTATAGTCAATTAGTCAATATTTCAGGCTTTGAGGGCAGAGAGTCTAGAAATTACTCAGTACTATTGTTAAGGTCTGAAAGTAGCAGTAGATGATATGTATATGAATGTGGTTGTATTTCAAAAAAACTTCATTTAGAAAAACAGCTTCAACAGATACAGATTTGACCATGGGTAAGCCTGTCAACCCCACTACTATATGGCACTCACAGACCTGCTGGCAGACAGCAATTTAATTAACCTCTTCCTCTATTATAGGAAAACGTTTCTGACATTATAGACACAGGAGGACTAACTCAAAACAGCACATCCAGTGCACTTGGCACATACAAGGCACTCAATAAATAATAGTGGTTACTGATTCCAGCCTGGGATAAGATATTATATTCTAGAAATCTAAGATGCTCTGACATAAACACACACACACACACACACACACACACACACACACACACTCCTTGGCTAATTGGAAAATACAGGACATCTTTGGCACCAAAAAGAATAACTACTGACACACACTGAAAGACAATGACAGGGACTACCAGTTCTGGCCAAGACAGAATTAAAATTTACCTCTTCTACCAATAACCACAAAACTGAGCAAAACATATAAAGTTGAAACTCTAGACAACAGATGGTGTGCTGTAATTCTTGAAAGAAAGTAGAAAGGCAATGGCACAAACAAGGGAGTTTGTTCTTTTGTTAATCTGTGATGCGGTAAAATAACTCAAAGCACCCTGTGATCAATTGAGGATGCATATGAAAGTAAGTGGTGCCGGATCGGCGAGATGCTCAGCAGGTAAAGGCTCCTGCCGCAGAACCTGACAACCCAAGTCTGATCTTTGTCAGAGAACAACCTGTGGGCGTTGGTTCCCTCTCTCCACCATGTGGGTCCTGGAGACTAAAATCAGATTGTCACGCTTTCCTTCTTTTCCACTAGACATACTGCATAGTCCTGAACACACAGAGCTCTCAAACACAGAAATCTGTCAGGTTGAAATGAATATTTATTATATTAGATAGGATTATCCTCAAATAACCAAGAGTTTGTCTTAAAGTCCCCAAGAGGAACACAGTGACATTAAGGTTAGCCCAAACAAAGCACCATGTCAAAAACAAATGCAGCTTTACCTGGACATCTGGCACCTGTGCACCAAGGTTGCTGAGTCCCACAATGGAGTAGAAGGCAGACTCCAAATCTGTGAAAGGGCGGGCCAGCGAGGCTTTCAGTCTCTCCACATCATGCTTGGTGAGGTAGTGGGTAGGCGTCAGGGCCTGGGTGCAGGCTATGATCGTCAGGGCCACCAGAAAGACAGTGCTTGAACCTTAGAGGGAAACGACTCTATTAAACGCATGCCACACTGCTCCTACTATATTCACAGTCCCCACTAGGATGCGCACCAAGGTCTGGAAGCCCAATCATGTGAGGAAGTGTGTGAAACTCAGGTTCAGCCTAAAAAGGAGATGGGGGGGGACCTCATCTCCAACCATCAGGACAGTCTTCTCAGCAAGCTCTAGGAATCTGAAGAACAAGCCTTACTGCATCATTGCCCCGTAAAGCCTCTCCAAGCCTAAATTCTTATGCCTTCTTTTCCTATCAACTAAACCCCACCCTTGCCAGCCCAACATCTGCTGTTCTCTGGCCTGTTCCAGCCATATTCCTTCCCATCCAACACCCCTCCTGCTGTTTTCCCTACTTCAACACTGCTTCATTCTTATTTTCAGGTTTCGCCTGAGTCTTCTCCTTAAGAAGCTCTCCTTGAATCAGGCCCCCAGTGCCATGAAGAATCTAGCCTCCAGATGACACGGCCACCAAGGCCAAGTTACACAACCGCTGCCTCAGCTTCCTCAAGTATAAAGTGAATGACAAGAGCATCAGCCTCAGTTATTACGAATTAATGTAGAAAGACCTTAGAGTAATAACTGGTCCTTAACAAGTGGTGTCTACATCTTAGCTGCTGCTTCTACTGCCACTGTGGTGGTTGTTACAGCCATCTACTCTGCCTTTGCAGCATTCTGCACAATTAACATAATATGAGGTCTGCTGCACCTGCTAATCTCTAAGTCCCCTCAGGCTAAGGACTTTCTCATGTTTACCTCAGTATTTTTAAGTACCACATGGTACCTATTGAATAATAGTTGACAAATAAATGGAGGAAAAAAAAATTGGCCTAAGATCTCCCAGGGGACAGGAAGAAATTATAGGAATGGAACATATCTATTGTTCATTTTTTAAAATAAGAGGAAAACTTTTGAGTATATTGTGTGAAAAAGTCTGTCACACAAGTTAAAAGCATTAAAACGCAATTATAGTCAGGCATGGTGGCAGATGGACCTCTGTACAGCCAGGGCTGCAGAGACCATGTCTCAAAAGAAAACAACAAAAAAAAGCAATTACAAGGATAACATCAATGGTCCTAAATCTATTTGAATTAGAATCCATTAAAGGTATTGCTCTATCCATTTTACAGTAAGAAAACTGAGGTTCACAGTAGCTTACACAATCAATCTTGGACTCAAACTCAGCTCTTAACACTACAGAGTTCACATAGCAGTTTAAAAAAATTACTTTGTATGTGTGTGCCCTCACTCCATGGTGCATGTGTGGAGGTCAGTTCTTTCCTACTGTGTGTGTCCCTAGGTCTGCAGTCAGGTCATCAACCAGGGTTAGTGGCAAGTTTCTTAACTCCCTGTGTCATCTTGCTGCCCCTCCTTTTTTGTTTTATTAGAATATCATAGAAGGACACATATATCTGAGAATCACTGTACGATGAACAATAGTTTCATTTAAATCTTTGTGTGTCAACTTAAATGAAAGTCCTTCTCAAAAAACAGAGTGCCAGGGTGGTCCAGTGTAGCTTAGTGAGAAGCATTTCTGAGTATGATTCTTAGCACCTCTAAGCCCCCTAAATAAAAAACACAAATATGGCCAGGCATGGTGGCACATGCCTGTAGTCCCAGCACTTGGGAGGCAGAGGCAGGTGGATCTCTGAGTTCAAGGCCAGCCTGGTCTACATAGTGAGTTCCAGGACAGCTGGGGCTACAGGGAGACCCTGTCTCAAAAAGAGAAAAAAAAAAAAAACTCACAAATATAACATATATAATATATATATATAATGTACGGTATCCATCAAATATATATTGAATGCTCCTATGTGCCATCAACTTTTTTTTTTTAGTGCTAGGGATTGAACCCCAAGTACTACTTTAGGTGTTAAAAAGTGAAAATGGGGGCTGGAGAGATGGCTCAGCGGTTAAGAACACTGATTGTTCTTGCAGAAGACCCGGGTTTGAATCCCAGCACCCACATGGCAGCTAACAACTGTCCGTAACTCCAGTCCCAGGGGATCCAACAGCCTCTTCTAACCTTGTGGGCATTGCATAACACGGGTGCACTTACCTACATGCAGGCAACACACATACACATAAAATAAAAACAAATTGAAAAATTGAGACCATGAGGTCTGGAGAGATGGCTCAGCAGTTAAGAGTACTGGCTGCTCTTACAGAGGACCAGGGTTTGGTTCCTAGCCCCCACATGGCAGCTAACAACTGTCTGTCACTCCAATTCCCAGGGATCCAACACCTTCTTCTGCCCTCTCTGGGCATTGTACAAATGTATTTGCACTTACATACATACAGGCAAAAGCACCCACATGGTGGCTACGAACCATCCTTAACACCAGTTCCAGGGGAATCCGAAGCCTTCTTCTGACCTCTGCGGCATTGCATTAACACAGGTGCACTCACATACATGCAGGTAATACACTCATACACATAAAATAAAAATATTTTTTAAAAGTGAAAATGTAGCATCCCTATACAGCTTACAGTTAGTGGGGGGAAAAAAGGCATCACACAAAATAATTAAGCATGATTTATCATGTTGGAAGATAAAAGGCATGAGGGAGAAAAAGAACAGAATGGGTATCTTGGGAAGACTCTTTTAAACATGATGGTTTGTGAAGGCTCAAATAAAAAAACATACTGAGTGCAGACCTGAAAAAGGAGCAAGCCACAGAGCTACCTCTGCAGAGATTTTTAACAAGTGGGTGCAAAGACTGAATCAGGAGCATATAGTTTTTGCAGTTGTTATTTTGTTGTTGTTTGTTTTTTGAGACAGGGTCTGACTATGTAGCCCTGGCTGGCCTGGAACTCATCATGTATACCAGGCTGGCCTCAAACCCACAGAGATCCACCTGCCTCTGCCTCCCCAGTGCTGGGATCAAAGGTGTGTGCCAACACGCCTGGCACTGTTTTCTGAGACCAGCAAGGACAGTAGAGAAAGGAGGTAAGCAAAGCATGAGATGTAAGGAACAAGGTAACAGCAGAACTGAGTGAGATGGGAACCGTTGCAAAGTTCTGAGCAGAGGAGTGATTTGACTTGCTCGTTAACAGGATTGCTCTGTTGAGGATGATACTGTGTTGAGATTAGACTAAGTAGGGGCAAAGACAGAAAGAATACCAGCTAAGAGAGTACTGCCACGATCCAAGTAAACAGAGAAAATGATTCAAACAGGGTAACAGCTGTGGAGGTGCCAAGTGGCCAATCTTGCTACAAGTAGAAGTCAAAGCCTAAAAGAATTGCTAATGGATAGGTAGATGCAGAAATTAGGCATCAAGGCACTAAGGCAAAAATTCCCAATGCCCAGTGGACAATCATGTACTCAATATATTTTGACCTAGTGAGTGACTATGACTCATTTCTCCACCTAAATTGTAAATTCCTGGAGTATAGCATCTGTGCCATAATCCTAACCTTCCCACTGCAGGTTAACCATAGCAGTAACTTTTCAGGCTGATATTTGAACACTCGACATTTGTTATATAGGCCCAAACTATGCTGAACTTTTTGCTAGAGTCATTAAATCCTTCCAACATCAAATGGAATGGGTATTTTCTGTATTTTACAGACCAAGAAACCTAAGCTAGCCCTAGTTCATGCCTATAATCTCAGGACTGAGGATGCAGAGGCAAGATGCTGAGTGTGAGGTCTACATAGAGAGTCCGTACCTATTTGTGTGTTGTGATGCATGCATGTTTAAGTGTGTGAATGTGTGTGTGTGTGTGCGCGCGTGCATGCAGAGCCAGAGTAAGATGCAGGCTGTCCTCTATTGATCTATGCCTTGAGACAGGGTCTCTCATGGAAACGGAAGCTTGCCATTTTGGCCAGGCTGGCCAGCCAAGAAACTCTTGGAATCTGATGTCTCTGCCCCACCATGTATAGGGCACATGCAGCAACCCAGGCCCAGTGCTGGGGATTCAAAACTCAGATCCCCAAGTTTGCACTGAGCCATCTCTCCAGTCCCCTAGACCCTATCTAAAGAGAGAGAAAAAAATCAAAGCTCCTAAGTAGTTACCTGCCCTAAGATACATAACTGGGATTCAAACTGGAGACAGTTTCAATCCAGTTCTGACTTTAACCACTTCACTACCTCAGTTAAGTGGCAAGCTTTGCCCGCTGTTGCCTTAGACAAATTACTTCCTTTTTCTGGGATTCCAGCTTCTTATCTATCCAGTGGGAATAGCAAGGGTACACACCCAAATAGCGATTTAAAAGGAAAAAAAAAAAAAAGGCACTGAGCGTCATTTCAATAACTACCCAAGAAGTGAACTTTGTGAGTGCCCTGCACTGTTAGAAGTAATACCATTTAACACAACCTCATGAAGCATATACCAAAATGAGAGACGGAGGTGCAGAGGGGTCAAGTCCCTGGCACCGGGTCCCACAATGAATAAGTTTGCACGGGTATCCCTTCAGAAGCTAGGCTCTACACGCCCAGAAAGACCTGAGCGATTCTCTCTTGTCCCCGCCAATGAAAAGGCACCTACAGACCAAAGAAAGTCGAGCGCCCTGGTCAAAAGCTCTGAGGCTGTCAAGGATGGCTCCGGGATCGCTCTCGGGCGACAGTACCACACAGCTGAACCTGGGTACGCAAGGCTGGGGTTAAGCTCGGCCGCGGTTCGCGCTGGGCCTCGCGGGGGCCCGTAGCCACGCGCTGCACTGGCCCCATAAGCCCTTCAGGCCGCGGGCACTTCCACCAGCGCCCAGCCCTCCGTCACACCCTCGACCCCACAGAGCCCGAGCCCATGCCCCTGCCCCGCACGGGAGGGGAACCGCGTCTAGCCGGCGCCCGTGTGGTCCGCACTAGCGTCCCTCGGGCGGCGCCCCCGCTCCCCAAGGCGTGCCGGCCGCGGGGCCCCACTCTTGAGCCATGCGCAACGCCTCACCCGGCGGCGCCATTCCTCCGAGCAGGTTCCACCGGAGCCGGAGCAGGCTGACTTCCGCCCCGGAAAGTGGCCCCAGGAGCGCACCGGAGGGGACGTCAGGGACCCGCGACACCCGCCGGAGACCGGGATGGGCTCCAGGCACAGGTGAGTGTCCGCGGCCGCACACTGCAGGGCCGCTCGCAGCAGCCACAGTAGGGGCTTCAGGGCTTGCGGACCTGGTCGCCTTCGGGGTTCCGTGCGACCTTGCCGTCCGCACCCCTCGCGCCGCGGCGCACTTGGGATCGACCGCGGCTCAACCGGCCTGCTCAGGCTGCCATTCGGACGCGATTGGTCCGGGCTTTGGGGTGGGCCTGAGACGGGGCCGCCTCTGATTGGTCGATCTCAGTGATTGGCTGGGTATGCTGTCACTCACGGGTCTCTCTCGTAGCCGGGCCAATTTTAAAGGTGTGGGAAGGGTTCGGTTGGGAGGGGAGAGTAATAGTAACAGATGAGTGGTTTTTCCTTGGGGAAATTAAAGCAAAATGATTACTTCGATTTTTAATGATTGACCTTTGAATGAAGTTTTACCAAGTTTTCCAACCAATGACTCCTCACATACCAAGTTTGCAAACCAATGACTCCTCACAGTATTGTGAGGCACTTTTTAGCCTATTTTTACAGATTTTGACAGACTGTAGAAAAACTCATCAGAATATCTAGCTCCAATTACTGTTTACAGTACAGTCCGACAGAATACTAAACACCTTCCATACATTATTTCATTTACTCTTAATCATCATTTTGTGACGTGTGTAGTGTTACTGTTAACACTTTAAAGGGAAGGAAATATTTCAGTCTCTAGGCATTCTGACTACAATCTCCTTTTAACTATTATGACCACGTAGAGTTACACAATATAGTGACTCTTTATTATCTTTGTTATTATACAAAATATTTTTAAACCACATAGGGGAGAGTAGATTATGTGTCTAGTAAGTACCTGTCCTCTATTTAGTAGTTATTAGCCCCACGCAGTTATTTCATTTCACTTTGAATTTAAGTAAAATTTAAAATTCAGTTCCACAGTTGTTTTTGTTGTTTTAATGTGTATGCGTGTATTGCCTGCATGTAGGTAAGTGCACCTGTGTTGTGCAATGTCTGTGGAGGTCAGAAGAGGCTGTTGGATCCCCTGGGACTGGAGTTAGGACAGTTGTTAGCTGCCATGTGGGTTGTTGGGATTCGAACCTAGGTCTTCTGCAAGAACAACCAGTGTTCTTAACCTTGAGCCATCTCTCCAGTCTCCTAGTTCCACAGTTGTACTAGCTATATTCCAAATGCTTGATCAGAGTGGCTAGTGGACATAATAAATAATGGGAAATTATAGGGCAGACATTTTTGTTAGGAAGTGATACTAAATATTGCTGATCTAGAATATATAGAGAACTCTTCCAATTCAGCAATAAGATAAGCCAATTGGGATCAGGTACCCATGCCTTTAGTCCCAGCACTCAGGAGACAGAGGCAGGCGGATCTCTGTGAGTTTGAGGCTAGCCTGGTCTACATCAGGTGCTCCAAGCCAGCTGGGACTACAAGGAGACCCTATCTCAAAAAGACTAAAAAAAGAAAGAAAGAAGAAGAAAAAAAAAAAGAATTACCATGGGAACCGGGTGTAGTGGCACACATCTTTACATCTCTAATTCCAGCACACCAGGAGGCAGAGGCAGGGATCTCTGAGATTGAAGCCAGCCTGGTCTATATATTGAGTTCTAGATCAGCTGGGCCTACAACTGGGAGACCTTGTCTCAAAACAAAACAGTCACCATGGAAACATACCTCTAGGTGTGTCTATGAGAGTGTTTTCAGAAAGCTTTACCTGAAGAGGAAAAACTCACCTTCATTGTGGGTGGTACCATTCCATGGTCTGCATCCTGGACTGAAAAATAAAGAAAAAGGGGAGCAAGCACCAACATTCATCTCTCTCTGCTTCCTGAGTGTAGACACAAGTAACCAGTTGTCTCATTGTTCCCATTGCCATGTCTTTCTGTGGTGATGGACCGTGTCCTCAAACTGTGAGCCAAAAATAAACCCTTCCTTCCTTAAGCTGCTTTTGTTAGGTGTTTTGTCATAGCAACAAGAAAAGTAGATAACAGCACTGGGAAACTGCATCAACCATCCTGTTAAAGAAGAGTTTGAAGCCTTTCTGATTATACCCATTCCATACTCTTCCTTTCCCTCTAAGATACCAGTCCTGCAGAATATATTTTTTCCTTGCTTCTTTTTGAAATTTTACTGTGTATGTTTATAATGTCAAGAAGCATTTCAGGACCAGTGAGATAGCTCAGTGGGTAAAGGCACTTGTGCCCAAGACTGACCACCTGAGTTCAATCCCTGGAACTCAAATGGCAGAAGGAGAGAGCCAAATCGCCCAAGTTGTCTTCTGATCTCCACATACATGTATCATAGCATGCAAGCACCCACACATACATGAAATAAATAAATGTAGTAAAAAGTATCTTAGTTTGGCATTTTTCTTAACAAGTAATTCTGCTGTCTTAGCCTCCCAAGTGTTGGGATTACAGGTACTCACCACTATGCTTGGCACTTGACTTTGAGTGTTGTGAGCATTTGTGTATTGCTGGGCTCATTCATTTTTACTGCTATCTGGTACTTCACCTGGTAAACTTATCACAGTATCTGTTCTACTACTGATGGACTATCCAATATCTCAAGTTTTTTACCATGATGACCACTGCTGTGAAGATTCGCATATATAAGTAGAAGTTTTCCTGGAATTCCTAGGTGTAGAATAGTAAGTCGCAGAATACACACACTTTCAACTTTACTACATGATGACAAATGGTTTCCAAAGTGGTTGTATACATCTGTACTTGTTATTGTCAACTTGACACAAACTAGAAACACCTGGGAAGAGGGACTCTCAACTTAGGAATTTCCTCCATTAGACTGACCTGTAGCTGGAACATTTTCTTGATTGGTAGTTGATGTAGGAGGGCACAGCCCAGTGTGGCTGTTGCTATCCTTAGGCATGTTGGCCTAGACTGTATAAGAAGGGTAACTGAGCAAGTGAGAGGAAGCTAGCCAGTAAGCACTGCTTGTCCACAGTCTGCTTCAGTTCCTGCCTTGGCTTCCCTCAGTGAAGAACTACAACCTGGAAGTGTAAAATGAAATAAACCTGTTCTTCCCCAAGATGCTTTTGGTCCTAGTGTTTATCACAGCAAGGAAAGCAAGTTAGAGTAACTTCCAACTGCAATTTATAGGAGTTTTGGGGGCTCCACATCTTTGTCAACATTTAATATCCATGCCAAATATTAAAATATTTTATTTTTTATTTTATGTATATGAGTGTATTGCCGGCAGGTAATTAAGTGCACTCATGTCCTGCAGTTCCCGTCAGAAGAGGGTGTTGGATCCCCTGGAACTGACATTTCAGATGGTTGTTAGCTGCTATGTGGGTGCTGGGACTCAAACCCTGGTCCTCTGCAGCCCTAAATATTAAAATTTTAAGCAATATAGAAAATTTAAAAACTTTCTCTCAGCTGGGTGTGGTGGCGCATGCCTTTAATCCCAGCACTCCGTAGGCAGAGGCAGGGGGATCTCTGTGAGTTCAAGGCCAGCCTGGTCTACATAGTGAGTTCCAGGACAGCTGGGGCTACAGGGAGACCTTGTCTCAAAAAGACCAAAAAAAACACCCAAAAAACTTTCAGAATTTCCACTGTTGGGGGCTGGAGAGATGACTCAGCAGTTAAGAGCATGGACTGCTCTTGCAGAGGACCCAGGTTCAGGTTCCAGCACCCACATGACAGCTAACATCCACCTGTAACTCTAGTTCCAGGGGACCTGACTCTTTTGGCCTTCTCAGACACTGCATGCACACGGTGAACTTATATACATGCGGGGAAAACACTCATACACATAAAATAAAAATAATTTTTTTAAAACTCCATCTTCCAGTTGGGTATGGTGGTGTTCATCTTTAATTTCAGTACTTGGGAAGCAGAGACAGGTGGATTTGAGACCAACCTGGTGCCTGTAAGTTCCAGGCCAGCCAGGGCTACAAAGTGAGACCCTGACTTGAAACAAACAAAAAAGAAACAAACAAAAAAGCAAACACAAACCTCCTCCACAAATATTTGGCTTTAGTTCCATGTTTTTCTACTTTTTTTCGATATTCATGTGTGTTTATAGTGTATATACATATATATATATATACACATCACTTATACAAAATTTATTTTAATAAAAATGCGATAACATTATAGCACCGCTTGACAACAACCTTGTTTTGTTCTGTTCTGTTTTATTATTTAAGATGGGGTCACTCTTTGTGGTTCAAGCTGGCCTGAGACTCATGGCAATCCTGCTGTATCATCCTCCAGAGTGCTGGTATTAGAGACATAGGCCACCATGCCTATTGGCAACTTCCTTTTTATCAGTTAATCTATATTTATGTTCAGTAGATACCAACCTACACTGTCATTCCCTGCACATTAACATGTGCCAGTTAAGATTTCAGTCTCTTGGAATATATTCAAAGCTGCCTCCACCTTGTCCTCAGGGAGCCTACATTTTAGTGGGAAGAAATGATGATAAACAGTGAACATTATAAATAACTGAATTAGAAGTCTGGGGATATAGCTTGGTGATAGCATACCTGCCTAGCCTGTGCAAAGCTCTGGTTCAATCTCTAGCACTGCAAAAATACACAAATAGATTAAAGAACTAATTAATCAATTAGTCTCAGGCATAACCCTGTGATAGTTGTATACTTAGCATGTTTGAGGCCTTTGGTTCTTTCCCAAGCTTGAATAAATTAATAGCTGAATGGTATACTAGATAGTATTATGGGCTATGGAAAAAAGAAAAAGTAAGCAAGCATAAGGGAGATTGAGGCAGGTTAGGGAGGGATTGTCCTACTGTGTCTGTTTTTATTCATCTACCTATCCATTCACTCCCCAAGAGGCTGACAGCATTCTAGGTGCTGGGGATACATTGTAGACCAGGTTTCTCCTCTCATGGAGCTTCCAGTTTGATAGAGTGAAGCAAATGGACAAGGTAACTGTTGGTGATGATTAAATATTATGCCAGAAAAAGTAACTGGGACTGGGACCAGGAGAGGTTGCTTGATGTAGACTGATGATCAATAATGCCTGTCTGAGAAGGGGGCATTTCAGTTTTCAACTAAATGATAAGACTGAAGTAATTCTGAAAAAATTAATTTTTCAAATCCCCTCTTTGTTCCCAGGGTCTGTGGTCCAGAAGAGGTAGTGATCTCTTGTGCTTCTGACAGTGACTCAGGAAGTGTAGGTCTACAACTGGGCAACTTAGAAGACATCAGGAAAGACCCAAATGGCCTTGAACTTACAGGTGAAAAGGGCAAAGATGGGGAGAGGGATTCCACCTCCCCATTTTCAGTACTGGGGATTGAACCCAAGACCTTATGCATGCTAGGCAAATGCTCTACCACTGAGCTATACTCCAGCCCTCTCTTTCAAAATATAACCAACAGGTATTAATTGAATACTTGCTGGATGACCAGGCCTTGACTAGATTTTAACAATTAATTTGGTTCATGATTTTAAGTCTTTGAAATAAGATTGGCAAAATAAGATCTTATATTATTCTGTCACACTGCAAACTAAACTTGACCCCAAGACAGACGGTAATACAAACTTTGTAGCACGTGTGAGTTCTAGAGGGATTCAGAGAAAGGAAAGGTAAGTGTGGGCTGACATGGAGAGAGGAGGCTTCATGTAGAAGGTGGGATCTATATTGGCCTGCAGAATAATTGCAGGAACTGTGTACATACAAGGTTCTGGGTGTACAGCAATGATTACAACCAACTGGCATGGTCCTGCTAGAGAACTGGCATAGAGCAGAAAAGAGACCTCCCAAAACAAGCAGTAACTAAAGTAATTACAAGTAAGCACTGCGAGAACATTATTAAACAAAAGATTGAGACAAGTCAGGAAGATGGTTGTCAGCAAACAGCTGCAGGAAGCCTCAAGGACATATTTAAGGACAACCCATGAGAAAAGTTGAGGGAGGAGCAATCTGGGGAGGCAGAACAGCATTGCATGAGCCAGGAATGACCTTAATGTGTCTGGGGAACTATATTCACTCATTCATACATTCAGCAAATATTTATTGAAGCCCTACCATGCTCCAACACGATTTAGCTGCTGAAGCTGCAGCAGTGGATGGGAGCAGACAATGTATGTATAGACAGGAAGTTGGAATTAAGTTTGATGGGGTACAGTGTCAGGATATTTGATGTACAGAAGTTTACTATTGGGGCTGGAGAGATGGCTCAGCGGTTAAGAGCACTGACTGCTTCTACAGAGGACCTGGGTTTGATTCCCAGCACCCACATGACGGCTATGAACTGTCCTTGACTCCAGTTCCAGGGGAATCCGACGCCCTCTTCTGACCTCCATGGCACTGCACGACAGGGGTGTACTCACTTACATGCAGGCAATACACACACACATAAAATAAAAAATAATATATATAAAATATATATATATTTAAAGGAGGTTTACTATTGACTAGAAGGGATTCTTTTTAATTATTTTTGTTTATGTGTGTTTGCCTGCATGGAAGTGCACCTGTGTTATGCAGTGCCTGTGGAGGCCTGAGGAGGGAATTGAATCCCCTGGAACTAGAGTTATGGATGGTTGTGGACTACGGTGTGGGTGCTGGGAACTGAACCTGGGTCCCTGCAAGAGCAGCTAGTGCTCTTAACCACTGAGCTATATCTCTCCAGCCCTAGGAGGAATTCTTAGCAAACATAGGGAAAAAAAAAGATTCAGGGCAGCTATCTTAGAGCCAAGACCTGAAAAATGAGCAGGAGTCAGCAAGGCAGAGAGGGGTAACAGTGTACCGGAAGGAGGGGGAATTGCAGACAGAGTACACAGCCCATGCCAAGACCAGAGGTGAGGGAGAACATTGCTTTAATTAAATTTCAATTATTAGGACTGGAGAGATGGCTCAGCAGTCAGGAGCACTGGCTGCTCTTGCAGAGGACCCAGGTTCAATGTCCAGCACCCCCATGGCAGCTAACAACTGTCTGAAACTGCACTTCCAGGGCATCTGACATTCTCTTCTGACCTCCATGGGCATTGCATGGGTGCACTTAACATACATGCAGGCAATGCACTCATGCACATAAAATAAAAAAATGAAATTATTTTCAAAAAATTGCAATTAGTAGATGCCAAAAATGTGACTAGAGGTGGGAGAAGTTCCCAGAAGAGGTTTCAGAAGACCACAAAGGGGGCTGGAGAGATGTCTCAGTGGTTAAGAGCACTGGCTGCTCTTACAGAAGACTCAGGTTTGATTCCCAGCACCCACATGGTGGCTAACAACTGTCCATAACTCCAGTGCCAGAGAAATCAGATGCCCTCTTCTGACCTCTGTGGGCATTGCACAACATGGATGCACTTACATGCAGGCAATACACTCATGTATGTAAATTGAAAGTAAAAAACGAAATGAAGGGGTACTTCATTTGCCACACCACATCCTGTGTCCTTGTTCCCCATGAAAGAAGTCAGAGTGGTCTGTATCCAAATTCCCCATGGGCAAATTGGATTACTTCTTCAGAGAAGAAGTGAAAATTAGACAGTTTTAAAGTAAAGAGCTCAAAAGAAAATGACCAGTTTCTTTCTGAACTGGGAGCTGGAAATTTCCTTAGATATGCCAGTAAACTTATCTTTGAGAAAAGAAATGCCAGAACCTTAACAAGGAAAGTATTCTTACTGTTTTTATGCAAATCAGTCCAGCCATGCAAATCAATCTGGCCCAGTCAGAAAAATACAAGACAGCTACTAGAAAAAATAAAGGCCTACAAAAAGGGAATTGAGTCTTCCTAAAAAATACCTGGAAAACTTCGGGTCCCTGGCTCACCTCACTAACAGAACTGGTAGTGATGATTCTATTAGCTTTCCTGTTAAAATCTTGGATAATAAACTCACTAAATTTATCAAAAACAAGTAGAGGCCAGCAGATGCCAGGTAATTTGTCAAATATTATAAAGTTCCTCTTAAATAACATAAGGGATTATGTCAATGAAGTGGAGGGGATATTATGGAAATAGGAGAGCAAGTCAGATGCTAAAAGCTTTTGCAAAGTGATGGTAATTAAGAACTCTGGAGCAGGGAAAGCCTAGAGATAGAAATGGGGAAGTGAACAGGAATCTTCCCTTACCCACTGAGGTTATCCAGGATAGAAGTCTTTGCTTTCCAAAGCTATCACATTCCTGTAATCTTTGCCTCTCTATTACCTTTATAGCCCTATGTTACCTTACTTAATTACCCTGTATATGCTATGTACCTTTTGTTTACATTCCTCACCTAAGTATAAAAACCCTCCAAAACTTGAGCAAGGGGTCTGACTCCTTTTATTGTTGGTGTCAGTCCTGCTAGCTAGTGTCAAATTAAACTTCCTCTCCTCACCTGAAAAAAGAAAGAAAGAAAAAAAAAAAGGCCACAAAGAATACAAAAGTAGAGTGGGCCAGGCGTGGTGGCCCACACCTTTGATCCCAGCACTCAGGAGGCAGAGGCAGGCAGATGTCTGTGAGTTCAAGGCCAGCCTGGTCAACATAGCAAGCTCCAAGCCAGCTGAGGCTACAGGGAGACCCTGTCTCAAAAAGACCAAAAAAAGGGTCTGGAGAGATGGCTCAGCAGTTAAGAGCATTAACTGCTCTTGCAGAGGGCCCAGGTTCGATTCCACATGATGGGTACAAACCATCCTTAACTCCAGTTCCAGGGGAATCCAAAGCCCTCTTCTGACGTCCACGGCATTGCACGACATGGGTGCGCTCACATACATGTAGGCAATACACTCATACACATAAAAATAAAAATAATAAAATATTGAAAAAACAAAAGTAGGGGCTGGAGCGATGGCTCAGTGGTTAAGAACACTGGTTGTTCTTGCAAAAGACCCAGGTTCGAATCCCAGCACCCACATGGTGTAGAACCCTGAGACCCTCTTCATTCACCCACTACCCCCCAATCCCTCCAGACCCCCACTAATTGCTCTTTTAGCTTCTGTAAAATGCTTGGCTGCTGCTTTAGACATGCCTAGACATACCCTGGCATGCCCTGACCCCCGCCTGCTATACCCCACCCGAGCATAAAAACTGCCCTATAAGGTAAAAATGGAGACTCCTGGCCCCACAGGTAACAGTCAGCACATTCCACAGCCCTGAGAATAGCGCCTACCAATAAGAAACTTCCAGGGCTGCATCTTATTCAACCAAACAGTTTAAAATTATGTTGGCGCGCCAGGGCTCCTTGAACCAACCAAAAAGTATCTTCAGTTTCCCCCCCCCCCCCGCTTTGTCTAAAACCTATAAAAGGCTCCACTCTCCCTTACTCTGGGCTCTCAGCACGGATCCGTTGAGTTGGTGTGGTCTGAGAGCCCGAGCTTAAGCCCGAATAAACCATAAACCTTTGCTTTTGCATTTTGGTGTGTTGGGTCCTTGGTGGTCTTTTTGGGGTTCAGTGGATGAGGTACAACAATGGCAGCTAACAACTGTCCTAACTCCAGCTCCAGGGGATCCGACAGTCTCTTCTGTTAGGGTCCGTGACTCGATGGGTCCCCTCCAGATAACAAATACACGGGATTGGAGATGTAAAAATCAAGCAGAGTCTTTACTTTCCAGCTAGCTGGGGTCGACCGGCTTCCCAAGACATGCAAGTCTGGTCAGAACGATCGACCCCCATTCAGTTTCAGGTACAGATTATATAGGCCCACATAGTCATTACACAAAAAGCATTCCTCAGCAGACACTTTGATCAAACATCTTAAAGCTATAGTTTCGGTTAAACATCTTTTCCAGGAAGGCTATGTAAGCCTGGTACAACTTCCTTCTCTTTGTTCCTTATCGGTTATCTGGTATGTGCAAACAGGCCTACAGGACACATTGTAAATCAACTGAGTCTGGGGTCCAGGGTCCAGGAAGGAGGTTTACAGCACTTCAATTCTTAGCATTTCAACTAGGTTAATCATCCATGTGTGGTAGATACAAATCAGGCAGAACAGGCAAGCTTAGCAAGTAAATCTAAATCAACATTTTAAACAGAGTTTTCTATCAAAATGCAGAGTTCTTACAGCATTCATCAAGGTATTTCATTTTTTTTTCCTCTAGTTGGCAGGGATCCAACTCTGCCTTCATACAAGCAGGCAAAACACTCATACATATAAAATTAATTAAATTTTTTTCAAAATAGCCAGGCCTCAAGAGTGCCCCTCCCTGGCCTCTGAGAAAAAAGCTGCTCTCCACCTGACGCTGGAAATCCCCTTCATTGAACAAACCCTTTCCTGATATCTGTTTATGATTTCTATGGAAATGGTCTGTGGCAGAAAAGATAGAATGTTCTTAGGTAAGCTAGCCAATGACAGTATA